TTTTTTTTGCGCGCCTTGTATATATATATTGTATATAGTTTATTTTACAGTGTACTCGTTGTATGGTGTATCCATAGTGCAGTTTGTGTAATAAATTAGTGAAGAAAATGTCAAAGCGGACAAGTGTTATTTTCCCACTATGGTAAGCTTACACAGAAGAACCCACCTCGTGTTTGAACGAGCGCGAGGCATGACAAATTCATTTTGGAATTATCATTTAATTTATTAAATTATCCAATGTATTTACTGTTCATGCCAACAATAGCAGTGTGGGTGGTGTACCAGATTGTCAATGTCGCTATGCACAGAATAAATTATTTCTTCTAACCATCGAAATCAAGAAAACCGACAATTCTGTTCCGAATATCACTGGTAAAGAACACTAGAAAATATATGAGATGTTATCTAAAGTGAAATGGAATGATAAACATCTAGCGGCAAAAGGTAAAGTATGGGGAACACCAAGCGATGTATCACGGGTCAACTAGTAATGCCTTCCCACACTGAATCTTAAAAAAAGTGGGGGATTGCAATTTTTATAAGAATTTACATAGACTGAAGCTTTCCAAATGGTCTAGAGTTTGGATATTATATGGTATATCGTGCAATTCCACCGTACGCCCTGCATCCAGTATTTATTAAAAAAAATGATGCAGGACATAAGGATATTACAAAATAGTCTGAATACAATTTGAAATTCACAGATTAAATTGAACATCTGTTTTGTTGCAGCAAAAAGAGGAGATAAACTTAATATTAAATTGAACACCTGTTTTGTTGCAGCAAAAGAGGAGATAAACATAATTAGAAAACAGATAAACATAATGAGATAATTATAATTAGTGCTGGCAACACAATTTTATAATGAATTGTAATAAAAATGCTAATAATGTACATAGGTTATTTCAGATATAAAGGTTTATTGCACTTTATAAAGTTTACGAGTAGAGTCATTTTGTCCATAATCACAGCATGTAAAAGTTCACTGAATTTATGCATTATGTGGATTTACACTTGACAGAGATCTAGGTCGTAGGAAGAGAGTCGTTCCATAATGTTTTGAAACTTTGGATACTGCTGTTTATCTTTAATTAGAAACCTTTGGAATGCCAGGAGATCAGATCCTAGGGATTTTATGTGAATATCCTCCCTTTAAGGGGCATGCAAAAGTGTAATGATCAGGAGTTCTCTATTCCCCACATTTGCAGATATCGGAGTTCACCATATTAGTCATTGGTTATGCCCAAATTCCGGCTTCGTAATTTACCATTTTTGATATGACTGTTTTTAGACGAATCCGTGTTATATGGAGATTTACGTCCTAGTTATATCCATGCATACGTCGTAGGCAGTAAGCTATTGATGTTGTACGAAGTTTAATATTTTGTAGATGAGGAATCCAGGAGAATTTCTTGTTGATTGTTAAACCGAGGCACTTGATTATATTCACAGATTTGATCTTTTGATTATCAAATTTTAGAGCTAAAGTTTTAGGTGTATTTTTCCATGTTTTATGGATCACTAAGACTTGAGACTTAATATGTAAAATTTGCAGTTTTTGAATTTTGCAAAGTTGGTTAAATATCTGAAGTGTTTCGTTGCAATAATCATGTAAAATATCTCTGGTACGGGCGCTTGTAATAAAAGCAATATCGTCTGCAAAAGCTACAATTTTTGAGTGATCTGGCCCTAGATCGACAATAATGTTGTTGAAACTGATATTTCAGAGATCTGCACTCATGCAAGATCCCTGGGGACATCCTACGACTTGATAACGCACAATTTCAGTATTGTAAAAAATCATACTTTTCCTGTTTCTGAAGTAATCTTGAATAATTAGTAACAAATTTTGAGGGCACTTAAAGAAACGCAGCGATTGTAATACCGTTGGACACCATAAAGAATCAAAAGCTGATTTTAAGTCGAGGCATATTATTGCAGAATGAAGTTGGTTGATTTTATTGTTTCTGACTTGTTCAAGAGCTGAATTAATTGCATGACTTGTTGAAAGTGGGCTTTGAAATCCAAACTGGTTATTGCTTATTAAGGTTTCACAATTTTAGGCGGCTGATGAGACTTCTTTCCAAACCTTTTTTCAGGGCTGCGAGAAGACTTATGAGATTAAGATTTGGAGTCATCGAAGCTTTATTCTTCTTATTGAAGAGTACTATATTACCAATTTTTAGACAATCAGGAAAGGTCGAGAGCTCCATACATCGATTACAAAAACTACAGCTTATATCAGGATGTGCTGGATTAATTAATTTTATGGGATTATCGATGCCATCTGAGCCTGGTGCCTTTTTTAAAGCTAGCCTTTTAGTTATTTGTTTGATTTCTTGTTTTGAGAATGGAATTATGTTTTCTGTTTGCGGAATGTCATTGCAATTGCAGATTGTGTTTTGAGTAAGAGAATCTTCAGCTGGATCATCTTTTAGAAAGATAGAGACAAGAATTTTATTTAGGGCTGAGAGAGTAGCATCTTGAATTTCAGCAGAATTTAAAAGCAAATTTGAGAGAAGTTGGATTTGCGACGGTTTGAATATTTTACTACTGGCGATCTTGTATAAGAAGCCATAAATTTCTTTACTGTTTGAACAATATTTGTGAAAACTTTTTAATTTAGATTAGAGAACATATTTTTGTAGCTTGCATTTTAGTTTTTGAATTTAAGCCAGGCTTGGTGTCTTAATTCATCGTCAGTAATCGATTTCATTTTCCGTTTCAATGCTCTCGTCTTATGCTTCTGAGCGCGTAACTCTTTAGTCCACCAATTTATATGAAAGTAAGGTTTTGGAGATTGTATTGGTAAGGTATCTTCACAGATTTCTTGGATTTTTGTTATAAATTCTTCTGTTCCTTTATTTAGATATTCTTTTGTTGCAATGAGTTGGAAGGAAAAAGTCATTGGAAGTACGGATTGTTGAATTTGCTTAATAATGTTCTTTTCTTTCTTTTTAGTAATTTTAAAACGTTTCATTAAAACCGATTCTGAGTTCTCTTTTGATTTCAAAAGTAATATATTTTTAGTGGGAGAGTCAGTGGGAGTATATTTAGTTGTCTTCTTCAATTTTGCGATTTGAATCGAATTAATTAGGTGATTGGAAGTAACTACGAGATCATTAATAATAATAATAATAATAACTCTTTTCTCAGACATTATTTCTAATCCTTCTCTAAGACACTGTTTCGAAAGAAGGTAAATCCGAGGCTTAATCATGAATGACAAGCTTATGTGAACTGAAGAATCCATCAAGGAACTTTCCTTTTGGACTTGTGGAGTTGGAGCCCCAAAGCTGATTGTGTGAATTGAAGTCTCCACAAATAATGTGTGGAGCTTGAAATAGGTAATGCGTGGAGTATATTTAGCGGATTCCTGTCACAGGTAATGTGGGGAGCTTGTCTAGCGGCAAAAGTATTTTTAAAGAAAGTGAGGGAAAATGTTTCATAAAATTGCTTACAGAAATTTCATTTGGCGATACGAAACCAAGTCATTTATTGCGTAAGATGAAAATCACTTGCTGAACAAATATAATGGCTAAGGGTTATCAAACCTTGTGGCTTGAGAAATTGCCAGAATCCGTTAAAAGTATGAAAACTTAGGTAACTTATCGATAATTGCGGATAAAATATTTGAAATGAACTCAACGAGAGAAATTTATTCTACTAGTGCAGACAATTTTGTAATGAATACTGACCTTGATAAAATCTCTAACTCAGAAAAACAAATTTCGGAATTAATTGTTCACAGACTGTCTAGAATTAAATATCGATACTCTAGTTTTAATCGAAGCAAGAGCCATTCAAGGAAAAAATATAATCCCAATAGATACTACTGCTACTATCACTTTAAATTGGTGATATCCTAAAAAATTTAAAAGCCCATGTAGCTGGAAGGCGTCGGAAAATTCCGATCATCAGTAGATTCGATGGCAGGTTCTGATGCACATGAATTAAAAGATTGCCGTAAATATCCATTATTCGGTCGGTTTATGCTTTCTTATGGACACTGGTGCAGATTTATCCATCACTCCGACAACATAAAACCATAAAATACGTAATTCTTTCAAATTGTATGCTGCAAATGGAACAATAAGACCCATTTTCGGTTTAAAAATTTTAACTCTAGGTTTAGGCCTGCATCCTGTCATTCCAATTTCCTTTAGTAATCGCTAAAGTGGATCGAGCTATTTTAAGCGCAGATCCTTTTAATCAAATTGAAATTAGCCGATGCTCCATTTAATTTTTAATATTGTTCCATGTACTGATAGTGCGTAGCGATAATCATAACGCTCTCAAGTGTTCTACCGCAGTTATATTTCCTGCGCGCGGTTTGTACCTCCTTCATTTTTGATAGCCGAATACAAACCGTCGTCTTTATCCGAATTTAGATGTTGTGTTTCTAGCCTTAGTTTTCCTACCTCTTATACTACAACCCAAACATCGTGATTCAAGATAGTGAAAATCCATGATTTATGGTTGCTGCAATAGAAACATTAATATACAGAAAAAATATAAATTTTTGCTTCTACTGCTATTTTTACGTCATTCGATATGGCGGCGTTTCGGGAACTTCACTTCCAAAGACCACGTGATGGCAGAACTTTTGATTCCGAGATGTCATTTGAATTGGAAGATGTAAAAAGGGACTATATGGCAAAAGTCTCATTTTGCAGAAAAAAAAAAAAAAAAAAAAAAAAAAAAAAAAAAAAAAACTATCTCGTTTTTTACAAGAATATCAGAAGACGTTTGAAAAATGGTGATTAGATTACATGGACCCTAGTTACATCGATCTCATAATTTCGTGTTGTTGACTTCTGACATTGTTGTGAAGCATTTTTGCTGCTCCTGTAGAATTTAAAGTTTGTCAAATAGCCCCTTTTTACATCTTCCAATTAATTTCCATGTGGATTATTTTTCCATGTGGATTATTATTATTAGTCTTATTTTTGCTACATAAATCTATGGATGCCTAATAATTAATTTTTAAATTTTTTCAGGGATGATAAATGCATACCTATTGGAGGCGAATGCGCATTTTGGTCAGGACCCAACTGCTGTGGATTGAGGACTCGATGCCATGTCATGGGCAAAAAAGTGAGCCCGATGTCTAAACATAAACCCGCCGTATATCGAAATATATGCGACGAATACAGGTTGGGTGTGTGGCTTGACGATGCAGGCAAATGGTTTAAAAACACTTTCGGCTAAGCACATGATAAAAGCAGGCAGTTGATGAGTTTGTTTTGCATTAAATAAAAACTTTAAAATTGTTATAAGTGCTTATTTTCTTTATTGTTGCTTCTAATTCAATCTCAAATGATGCTGTTTAGATTATGTGTAAAATAAAACATATGTAGATTGTGTGACATCTTGTTTAAAAGAATTTTTAAAATGCAAGATACAATTCAGATGCTGCTTTTAATTGATATTACTATAATAGTTAGGCTTTGATTTATTCCAAATAATAAGCAAAAAGGATGAAAATTTCATATCATATTCTGCTAGAATTTCAAAAGTATCATACATTATTTCATTTTTATCACTATTTCATTTCATCATACGAATGTTCAAAGTCTAAATGGATGGGAGCCCACCAGCGGCCGAGCGGTAAAGTCGCTGAAAACTGGTAGTTCGGTCCGAGGTTCGAATCCCGCGAACGGGCTGGTTGCATGGGTGTTTTCGTGGTTTTCCCCATGTGTAACGTGTGTACGAGCCAGTTTCCCTTAGAAAGCCCTCCACGAAGGCATCCCTCCTCTTAGGCAGATAGCCTTAGTGTGCTTTGCCATAATTAAATACACTACACTACACCACTAAATGGATGGTGACGCTAAAGAGCCTAATTTTCCCCCATAAAGTCTGTCGAGACATTAGGTTATTTCTTTGAAAGCAGGCAAGAGGGAAAATGAGCAAAGCCTTCGCCGGGAATCGAACCGCGGACCTCTGGAATACACGCCCAGCGTGCAGAACACCACACAACGAAGGCATGCTAAGAAGACGGGAGATGTACCTTATACTCCCCCTTTTAAAGGGCGACTGGTGTTCTCAGGGAACCCAATCGCCAAATCCTGGGTGTGGAGAATCATCATCCACCAACCTTTTAGTTCGGGCGACACTTATTGAGACATTAAAGTATTTTTTTGGAAGCAGGCAAGATGAAAAATGAACTGGCTTACTCAATAACTGGTTCACTCTTCCGGGTAGTAATGATACTACTTAATTTTTTGTTAAAGCAGAGTTTGATGTTAGAGTCATTAACTTGGAAATCGTTGGGAAACATCCTCCTGTATTGTTTTGAGTACTTTGTTAAACTTCGTAGACTTAGGATGTATAAAATTGTTTTTACACTTTTTAATACTATTAGATTTTGTTTAGGGATTCTGTATTTAATAAGACCTTTAACTAGGTCAGTGAAATTTTATAGACAATGGAGTTGTTATTTAAAAAAATATCTAGTGCTGCAAGTGCTTAATGCGAAGGTAATTTTTTTATTTCTTTAACTAAGTTATTCCTTTTGAATTTATTAGCAATTGCACTGTAACAGTCAAAAGACGAAACAAAAGCTTTTGTAAAGTTGCCTCGAGAAATTCTGTTGGTTTTTGATAAGCGTTTTGATAGCAAATTTCTATTAGCATTCCGATTTCTTCCCGTAAGCAAGTAACATTGTTGGTAGCCACCAGTTGGCTATGTATGCTTTCGCCAGGAATCGAACCACGGACTTCTGGAATATGCGCATAGCATGCAGACCACCACATCACGAAGGCATGCAAAGAAGGCGGAAGAAATACCTTATCAGTCACTAATTATATTTCCGTAGTTAATTGAAAACATATTTTTTATGCTTCCTTTATGTTATCCAAATTTAATTTTTTAGACTAAAACTTCAAACATTAATAAAGTTAAGTAAGAAAAATTAGATTTTATGCTAGCGCAGTGAAGTGACTTGTTTTAACATCCTTGTAAAAGTATATGTTAGTAAAGTGTTGTTAATCAAAATTTATGGTGTTGATGAAATGTTATAAGCTTAGTTTAATATACATAACTTTAAGCCAATAAATAAAGCATCAACCCTTCATCAACATCATAAATTTGATATAAGCAAAATATTGAATAAATATCGAATTATATTTGCTTCATAAATATGCTTGTTAATTATAAATATTTACTTTTCCAAGGGCAAAATTTTACTTCAACAGTATCGAGGGCCTGATTTCAGCCATTTCTACAAGGAGAAACGGGCACGTGCCCGAACCTCCATTTTCTGGCGGAACTCTACCATACAGTCAAAGTGTATGTATTTTTTAAAATTCTAAGTGTTAATATTATTAAATCAGAAGCAGACATATAATGCTACATTTGATAGATATTTTGATTTTAACGCAATGCGGCTTCATCTCACATTCTTGCTGGCTAACGCTATTATTAAATAAAGTTTCAGCTCGAAAATATATTATGCTGAATTTTACAGGCAGTCAGACAGTGATATTTTATGCAAGGCGTTCTCAACCATGGTTATTATTATTATTATTACTCTCTGTTTTCAGAGGGGAAAAAATCCTGGTTTAAAAATGTGTAAGTTTATATTTTACGCAATATATATTGAACTGAAACCATGAGAGTGAAACGAACGTGAATTACAAATTTTAATTTAAATAACTTTGAATTACCCCCGAAAAAAAAAAACATTAATTAAAATTTTGTTACACGAAATTCTTTAAGATGAATTGCACTTTGGGAAATTTATTTTAAGTCAACTTTTTCTATTTTTTCCAATAATAGTTCGCAATCATCCACTCTGTTTAATTAGCTTTTCAGCAAAAGCCCAATTTTCAGAGCAAACTTTATAAGTATGTGCTCAACGTATGTCTCCTAGGCGGTGTTAGTCGAAAACGTCATGGTACGAAACATCGCGAGAGAAAAAAAGCAAAGAGAAAGCATCGCAGTTCTAATACATAGTGGTACAAAATATCGTCGTCGAATATAAAGCGGTTCAAAAACTTCGTAGTTTAAAAACATCGTCGTCGAAAATACCGTGGTAAAAAATAAAGTATCTAGAAATCATCGCATGACGACAACATCGCACACATGCGTTTTTTCAGGTTTTAAAAACTGTAAATTAATTCTCGCACAATGATTTGGGAACACAAGAAGGAAAGAGGGATATTTTTACTTTTATATTTCATATTTTTGAATGAACTAATAAATTTTTGATGCAAAAGTAAGAAGGAAACTTAAGCATTTAAAAATTGAAAATTAATAGAAAATTAATGCAATTTATAGCACTTAATAGAATTTAAAATTTACATAGTTAATTAACGAAGGTCATTAGTCCTTGGGGACAAAGTGAATACATGAATTATAGTATTTAAGATGACCAGCAGTTACTTTGATTTTTTTCCCTTCATCCCTCTTTTCGTAATGTATTCGCTCAATATAGAGAGTTATGCAGAAGAATAATAGCCGGTATAATGCTATATAGCCAACTAGCGGCTACTGATAATGTTACTTGCTTACGGAAAAAAATGGAAATCCCAATAGGGATTTGCTATCAAAACTCTTATAAAAAACCAACGAAATTTCTCGAGGGAACTTTACAAAAGCTTTTGTTTCGTCTTCTGACTTTTACAGTAAAACTGCTAATAAATTCAAAAGCAATAACTTAGTTAAAGAAATCAAAACATTACCTTCGCATTAAAGCACTTGCAGCACTAGATAATATTTAAAATAAAAACTCCATTGTCTATAAAATTTCACTGACCTGGTTAAAGGTCTTATTAAATACAGAATCCCTAAACAAAATCTAATAGTATTTAACAGTGTGAAACCGATTTTATACGTCCTAACTCTATGCAGTTTAACAAAATACTCAAAACAATACAAAAAATGTTTCCCAATGATTTCCAAGTTAATGACTCTAACATCAAAATCCGCTTTATATACAACAAAAAATTAAGTAGTATCATTACTATCCGCAAGAGTAAACCAGTTATATTAATAGCTAACAACTTAAGGAATTCGTGAATTTAGACATTAATTTCACAGTTAACTGCGATCCTAGTAAGAATATTTTATTTAAAAGTTTAAACACAACCTTGACCAATTTATAAATACCACCATCTACAAATACAGATATTCACTCAATTCGTTTAAAGAATGGAAACATCATGTTTACAATAGTATTGTGGCTTTCTACGGGTTCGTGGATTTGGAGTAATTGATGACAACACTTGACGAAAAATCAAAACACAATTCATTCGTCAGTATTGCACAGGACAGTTCTAAAGACACTTTTAGAGTCGTCGAAAAACTACGAGAAATACGCTGAAACAATCAGCAGCATAGCCTTCAGACTGTGATGAAGACAGCTTCATGGCAAATCACTCAAGTACAGAATCCAAGTCGGTCGATCGCTCTTAAGCTAATCTCCGAATTCTGCTTCAGAGATTAGCTTTAGCTTAGGAACATTTCATGCCTTATTTAGAAATCTTGCCTTTCCTTGCCACTTCTAAGCCCGCTCTGCGGGGTATCTTACCGCAAATGGGCATTTCGTAATAGTATTAAAAATAATAATAATAAACCGCAATTCAATAATATGAATGACATCAGTTTTTAACTCCAAGGTGTTTTAAGAAAAGTACAGAACTTAAAATCCAATTTATTATTGCTACTATTGAAAAAGCTAACAACAATTTTAGTACTATTTCTGAAAGATTCTCTCAAGAAATTGTTAGCAATGAACTCAATAATAAAATTAAAAATTACAATTAACAAATTAAAATCTCTAAAGTTCAAGAAAGTCACTTATTAATAAATTAAAATTATCAGTAAACAACATTATTATAAATTTTCCGGTGTGTATGCATTTCCGAAATTTCATAAAAATCCAATCCAATTCAGATTTATAGCTAACGGAGTACATCATTACAGAAAGGAAATCGAAAATAATTTTACGGAAATTCTCAAAAATGCTTGTATTATGGCCCAGAATCAAACTAATATTAAATTACACAACAACACGATTATCAACAATAATTAGAAAGTTATTAAAACTATTAACAAACGAAAAAAGTACAGTATCAGTTACTACGATTTTGTGAATTTATACACCACCTCGCCACTTAATAAAATTTACGATAGTTTAATTGAGGTGTATCACCTATTTCCCAGCCATTAGAACAATTAAATGATTTTGACAAATGTGACTCTTATCTTGAATGTCTACTTTTCCGAAATTTTATTAAACAGCAAATTGAAATTTTTCTACTAATTAGCGGTG